AAGTATAACCTTTTTTTACCACAAAATAGGAATGGTTACAAGGGAATCGTGTAAATCTTAGTCGGAGATTGATGTTTAATTTGTACCCGGTTGAGCGGAAGTTGAGACAGGAATAACAGTTATTCCAAAATCTTAGTGCACCCCTTAACCACTTACAAATTTAAACATCTGCGATTCAAATGTCCCCCATTCCGTTATAAACCATCCATATTTTGTGGAAAAATTCTGCTAAGTTATATGTACTTGCCAATTAATATGTATTCATTTACACTAGATTAATATATGGTTTTATTATTTTTCTGTGCAGTGGAATATTTATATGACACAAACTGTACACAAACAACTAATTAAAAGAATTTCGAGTTTATAATTTTTATTTAATTGTAAGAATTTTTTGTCAAATTAATTTAAACTGTAATCACATCGTTCCAGAGGTCGACGCCGATGGTACCATCGGCGGCGGCGGCCTGAGTTTTGGTGCTACAAGTTATTACTTATGGAGAGGTCGGCCTTTTAGCCTTTTAGTATTACTAACATTGGCCGATGCTCAACACTTTTTGGATGCACAATACACTCTTATAAATGGGGTTACGATTATAACCAAAGAGTAAACGTATATGACTCTACCGCCGTGGTTATAAATTTGTCATTGAGTGGTGACAATTGTCACCAACCAGTTATAAGGTTTCACCGACCTGGTATTAAATTGTCACCAGAGATAATGCATTTATAAGCAGTTGGTGACAAATACCACGGCGGTAGAGTCATATACCGTAAATACTCTATTTATAGCCGGGGCTAAAACCGAAAACTGAGGGTCGCAGACCCGGCTAAAATTAGAGACCGGCTAAAATTTGTTCCGTCCAAATTTTAGATGTTACAAGATCACATATAATTCATGTTGACTCAATTTGAGTTTTCTTATTTAGCAAGATATGCCATTAGTAACCCATTCACTTTAACTCGATTTTTTAACGAGGTTTAGCAGTTTTTTCAAATTTTCTGTCATGATTATATCCATTATTAACTTAAGATTAATAGGTAAAAATTAGTAGTTTAACTTATTCGTTGATTAGCATAATGTGCAACATTTTTCTTAAATGGTCTATGAACGGGAACACAGCGGACAAGACAGGCTATAATTAGAAACCCGGGTATAATTATGGACCCGGCTATAATTAGAGACCCGGCTAAAATTTTGAAATCTTGGTTTCTAGACCCGGCTATATTTGGAGACCGGCTAGAATTAGAATAGGGCTATAAATAGAGGTTTTACGGTAAGTTTACTTTTTGGTTATAATCGTAACCCCATTTCTAAGCGTGCAGCAACGCGCAGCATATATGCTTTCCTGTATTGGATCATCAAACTATTTTGCGGAGATATGGTCCCATTGTGATCAATTAGTGTGACATTAAGCAATGTCTTTGTTAATCTGATTTATTTGTTCAATATTCAAAATGTATCTGGCTAGGTGCCAAAGATTTCAGAAATTTTCAATGGAAAACAGTTTTCCTACACGATTTCCGAAATGATGACCGAAATGATGACCTTACAATTTCACTTCTCATGTCCCAAGACGAAATAGTGCGATGTCAAGTCGCTGTAAATAGTGAATAAATAGACATACATAATTCGGTCTAGAACTTGTCATGATTATGCTTATGTATGTATGTTTATATAAGTAAATATTTACCCATGTACAAGTACTTAAATAGGTATATGTATTTGTCTTATATGACCATTAATCATCATACAGGATGTTATTCCAACCGTAACAAAATTAGTTACAAACTGTTGCAAGTATTGCAACTACTTAATTAGCTTATTAAGGAATAAACTTCGAGCCTGGAAACTTTACAATTATGGTGGTTTGAGTTATTTAACTGGTTTATACTTCAGAAAATGGCGTTCAACGGAAGTTGAACGCCAAACCAAAGTTAAGGTAGAGAAAGCGACGTCGAAAAAGTGGTCGAATCCTGCAATATTGAAGTACTGGTAAGCTGGTGATTGCCCTATTTTTAAGCTTACTTGAATACTTCAAGCTGTATGTCGTCAGCCTTCTGCTCTTAATTTTCTTCAAATTCAATAAAGGATTACTTCATTTACCACCCATCCGTCGAGTTTTGCTAACCTGGAGAAATTACTGTAAATAGAAACATAGTTTAAAGTATTCAATGAAATAGAGATATTTATTAGTAAGAATACAGCACGAATATGTCTCGGAAAATTGAATAATCAAATTTCTTGCAGAATATGAACTTCGCGTAGGAAAGTGTTTGGATCTTCCGATGTACTTTTTATCCGGCTTATTGGTCACCTGTTTAATAAAACTTTCCTACGCAAACTTAAATATTGTTTACACCTTAAACTTAGTGGCCATTTGCCACAAGAAATACTTTCAGAAAACCTACTAAAATTTAATAAAACAATGAGCATAACAGGATACGAAAGCATTAAAAGATCTAATTGATTTGTCTAACCGGCCTCGGGGTCTCAGCCAGGTATCAGACACCAAACGAAATTCTAATCTAGTTGAAATGCGGGCCTGGGCCTACACGTATTTTCATTATCTATTCCTTTCGTTATATTCAATTAACTGCCATTCTACCTTTTCCTTCAGTCAATCCCCATCTGTCTCCAATATGGCAAAATTAAACCCTACCGTTTTGAAATATTACCTCCATGTATTTGAAAATTGCACAAATATTATAATTATTAGCAATGATGAAAATGAAAATCTAAACATTGACCATACTCCTATCGTGCTACGTAACCAATACTATCCTGCAGAAAAAGTGGAATTGACACAGATAAGATTTTCAATTTTGAGAAGGAGAAACCCCTCACTGCATTGTTGGGCCTGGTTTTATCTCTTATTGGAAGATCATATTAAACAAACTAATTCAGTCTGGCTGTCAACCCAAATACCCCCCTTACCCGTGGGGCAACGATTTCTAATTTCAACAACAAACTTGAAATCCACGATTGACCTGGCATTTGAAATTTATGGAAGAGAATTTTTATTGTACTGGAACTTTGAGATAATACTCCTTGAAATTGATGAGAACATACCACAGCCAGCGTCTTCTATGGAAACAGCTGACCACAAAGTTCGAATGCAATACTATAATGTTTATCATCATAAAGGATTAATGGTGCTTGGACAACCCTCCAAAGTCTGGTACTGGATGGAATGTTTCCCATACAGTGCGAACAAGTGCTTCAACATGTTCCAAAGAATTGGAGAAGCTATAGCGGTTCTACACAAACATTTCCCAACTAATGAACACGCATATAGACAACCAGAGGCTGGTAGTAGTATTAAAAAGTGGTATAAGGATGGCTCCAAAGAAACAAGACTTCACGAAATTGTGCAGCTAACAACTTTTAGTGAATTTGTATCATTTTGGTCAATTCAGGATTCCTCTGAATTTGCTACTCTAAATATTACCGCTTGTATTGGTACACCCACACATTTTCAATTCCCCTCCGCCGTTTCTCCATGTTCATACATTTTGCGCGAAGTTCAAACCTATAGCTTCACTTCCTGCTACAAAGTAAAATCTGATACATTCATTCTAAGTGCGTTGATAACTCCATTTGATATTGAATCATGGCTATTACTTATATTCTGCTTTGTAACTACTGTCCTCATTTTAACGCTATTACCACGGACAATTAGTTCAGAAGGGACATTAGTTGGGACCGGAATACTTCTCGAGAACTCTGTGTTGGGAGACTTAAAACAATTTCAAGACAGGTTTACTGGAAAGTCCCAAATAGTTGGGGTGCATGTTCTAATTGGCGTATGGGTGATAATGACAGGCACTGTGCTAACAAATTGGTTCAAAACATCCTTTACAATGGAAATGATTATTCCAGTGAAGTATTCCCCACCATGGAAGACCTGGCTTGATATTGAGGGAATGCACGCTCTTTTACCGCTGCAAATGTTCGATTATGTAAATATCGATCCAAGACCACCTCCGTATATGCACTTCCTCACTGGTTTACGCCATAAAATCAACCATGTCATTAACTCGACAAGGTAAGTCTGTACAAATTATTATTGAGGTACATACATATTTCATTGCATCTACATGTTTAGAGCATTATTTTCATAAAAACAATTTCTCATCAGGTACGCCAAGTTCATTCAAAAATTTGAAGAGATAGTACCAAAATACCTTAGTCAAGCCACTACTATTGATGATTGGAGTATAGAATCCGTTTACAAACGTCTCCAACTGGAAGCTAGCAATGAAATTCTTCCAATCCCTCCTATTCTCCCAATCAACTACAATGAAACGGATAAGTCATACAAGAAACTTTCGACCTGTGAGAAAATTGCGTATCTGGATTCAACCGAAAATATGGCAGAAATACTGCCATTTTTAAATGACAATCAAGCGAATATAAAGTATTTGACTGGCATTGAACCTTTTTTCACAGTACGTCGTGGTTGGATGATTTGCCCACTGCGTCATGATTATGCCGAGAACCGCCTCAAGGTAATGATATCGTCGGGGATATATGCTCACTGGGATACCTGGTTTCGTTTGGCAAAACCGCGAACACTTTTATTTCATCACTATGCAAATTGGACTTATCCAAGATATAATGTAGTATCACAGTTGACCTATAATTCTAAAGTTGTCACAGGATTTTATGCCTGTGGAATTTGTTTTGTGTTTTGCCTGATTTGCCTCATGTATGAGATTTCTTATGCTTGGATCGGAAAGAGATTAAACTTGTATAAAGGTATTAAATTAACAAGAAAATTGTCAGCCTACATAGTTAATATAGCACAACTTCGTTTATGCACTGTACGTTCGTTAAAATGTGTTCCAGTTAATTCTCACCTTGAACAAATATGGGGCTTCAAATTTATCAAGTGTTGTAAGTATCTACATACATAAATAATGATAGACTAAATTATTCTTTTCTGATAATAGGTAGCATTAACTTTTTAAATAAAAAATGAAAAATACGGTGGAAATAACGCGGTTCCAATTCAAATTTATTACGCATTTGTATGATCAACAACTCAGTGCATTAAGATACTTAACAATTACAATTACAATCATTCCACGCATTTCTTCTCAACCTGATGGCTAGCGTTACCCTAGCGGAGTGCAGATACAGCTTTCACCCTGAGCTCCTGTGTAAGCAGAGCATCCAAATTTCTCCACGAAAAATGACATGATTCCTCTAATACCTAGATAAATTTAAACACAAAATTCAACGTAGAATAATAAATATTGTGTGATATTTCCAACGTACTGTTCTCATACAAAAGTTATCTAAACTATATAAAGCAGGCGAGTGTATCGCTGCTGGTTGGCTGGGTCGGTGGCTTAGTTGAGAAGTTAGGCTCTCCTTTTCTCTCTCCACTCTGCAGAGACAACAGGAGAGGTTAACTTCTCTAATGTTGGGGTAACGGGCTTATCGATGGGCCAATTTTGCACGTCGATTGACGGGCTTCTACACTAGTAACCTATAAAATATGTATTAAATGTGGCGAATTTATTCGAAACTACATATAAACCATGCGGGGAAACTTTAAAATTTAACTCACATTATACACAAAATAAACGAACAAACACCAACCTAATCTTTGAATGGAATCTAGCCCATTGCTGTGTTATCCTGGTCGCACTACAATCTATATTATAATTTAGATCCCATCCGTCCCTACTTACATATTCCCTCTTCTGGAAAATTGTCGCACATTGTTTTGAGGCAACTCGAGAAGGCTGTGTCACAAGTAGTTTTTGCATAACCGCATGTCCCGTAGCAGATGTCGTGTCCATTGCAGCACATTATTGTCAGACTGGTCACGACTTGGTTAAGAATCGGCTATTTAGAAGTATAAATTAGTCGTGTCAGAATTTTTTTAAAGGAGAAATACTTACAATGGAGGTCTCCCAACGTATGCTCACAGATTTGGACCAAATCAGTGTCAATCGATCACAAATATAATTAGTATGAAATTTGCAAATGCAACTATCTGCCAATGCGCAGGTTTGGCGGAGATATTTGCACCCAAAGTGGGAAAAATGCGCAGCAAATTTGGAAAATTAAAAATTTGCCAGCCTTTGGGGTGCGTTTTCTCCTCTTTTTATGCAAATATCTCCGCTAAACTTGAGCATTGGCAGATAGTTCTATTTCCAAATTTCATGCTAATTATATTTGTGATCGATTGACGCTAGTTTGGTCCAAATCTGTGAGCATACGTTGGGAGACCTCCATTGTTAGTTTGACACAGTTTACATCATCCCTGTTCACCGTCATTCATGTGACTGATTGTGATCGTGAATGAAAATGAATTTCCCGTGATTTTAATGAAAATGAGTGAATGATTCCGTCATTTGAGGTGAATGACTGTGAATGAAGGATTTTTCACTCCTTCCATTTTTCACCCTATGCTTAATACATGGGGTGAAGCAAGAAGTGGAGTTAGATAAAGCGAAATGAATTTGAAAGAAAATGAGTGAGTGTGAATGAAAATCTTCAGTCAGAAATCGCGATAACTGAACTTTGAATGAAAAAATTTTTTTGAACAGGTGTGCTTTACATACACTATACCAACCAGATCCGCAACCATTTTTTGTGGGTGGGTTCCCATTCCAGATGGGAATTGCACCGTCGGCACATGCGACGCAATCTTCTGCAGCAAGCGCAGCATTGAGGAAAACCAAGAAAATAGTGAAAGATATTAACGCCGTGAAGGTAGACATGATTAGATTCAGGAACGGTATCGATTGAAAATTAAAGAGATGTTTGGACCTGGAGTTGGATAAGTTTTGTGACCTGACGGATTATTAAAGATCTCAATTTATATTCTGTCCTGAGGAAGAAATGGTTTGATACTGAAGTGCGGTTTGCCTGGTTTTATTCAGGCATTGTATCAGGCATCGATAAGTAATAATGTCAATAAGATAAGTAATAATGTCAGAATGTCAGAATGCGACCAAGGTGGCGAAAATAAGTAGGTGAAGGTGGCTTCAATTCTGAAAAAGCTTAAATCAAGTGTTCTTCCTTAGTTGGTTGAAAACAAATTGATAATTGGATAAATGTATCTGTTACACAATGGACTTTGTTTGTCATACTTATCTCCCCCATTTGAACGGAGTTTCGTCGACAGCGACCTAATTTACAATTTGCATGTATATATTTCTGGGGAGGAATTCAATTGTAATTTGCGCACGGCGTAAGTCTAAATTTTGGTTCAAAATCAGTGCTTACGCTTTGCGCAAATTATAATTGAATTCCTCCCCTGGTTTGCAGTTGCTTATGTGAAGATAATATTTGACCTAAATACCTACCTATCTTGGCAAGGACAAAATATTTGATGCAAAAATTATTGTGCACTGATCTGGACGGTAAAAAAGTTAAAATGTATGTCGATGACTTACTTCATACTTATCTGATAAGAATTTATCCTAATAAATTTCATATATCAGTAATAAATAAACCATCAATCAACCATAATCCCTTGGTGGTACGAGTTATCTATATATATCATACCTAATTCTTGGTACAATAAATTTGTTTACATATGTAGCACTAAAATTGGTCAGGTAAAAAATCATCCCAGGCAACTTAAATCTGATTTCAACATTAAATATTTATAGGAGTTAAGTTATTAGCTCGCCCTGCGTAGCACGGGAGCTATTGAATTCCTCTTGTCCGTCTGTCCGTCCGTCTGTCCGTCTGTCTGTTAACGACTTTTTTGTATCAATTGATGCTAATTAAAATGTACCAGGTCCATTTTTTAATAAATTAATAGCACCGTTGGTATCTAACAATCGCTAACACAAAATGATGCGAAATAATTGGTGGACGCGATGTACTACGCATCAATAGTGCAGAATCTCCGGGAGATAGAGTCATACAATTTTGACATAAAGTTTGCAAAATTAATTATCCACGATTGGTCGCTCTTGCTCCGCAGGTGGTGCATACTAATTCGGCCTTTTGCTCATTTTTCCGTTTATATTGCACCCTTGGTGCAAGAATATATAAAAATTATGATCTCCTTTGTCGGCTTATTCCGCACCCTGGGTGCAAAGTTGTCTAAATCATTATGAACCTTATTTTGTCGCCTTATTCTACAATATTGAAGCAAAAAATCTCAAAATTCTACACCTACATATTCCGATTATAATGCACCATTGGAACCAAATTATAGAGTTTTATACTTGTTTTGTGCACTTATTCGGCACCATTGGTGCAAAATTATATATCTACATCCTATTTTATATTGCAGGGTGAGCTACTTCTAACGTTACTACGGTCTATTTTGTATTGCTTGTTATCTTGCATTGTGTTTTGTATTGATGGCTTAACTGCTATTTAAGCGATTAATAAAGTATTATGTTAAGTAATGTGCTTCAGATGCAATTAACCACCTGCAAAAATGAACCGCAAGAAAGTGGTTTCTTGCAGATAATATGTATATACCCGCAAGAAGTGCAGGAAGTACAATAAATTCCTTCCCGCTACTACATATAGTCCATCCCCTGTTCAAAAATTTAGTTTTCATTCAAAATTCAGTCATCCCAATTTCTGACTCAAGATTTTAATTCACATTCAGTCATTTTCTTTCAAATTCATTTCATTTCTCTTCAGCGGACTTCATTTCTTACCATTTCATTTCCATGTATCATGCAAAGAAACGGAGTGAATAATTTTCATTAACAGTCACTCATCTCAAATAACTGAATCCTTCATTCATTTTCATTCAAATAGCAGAAAATTCATCTTCATTTTCCACCATTCATCATCATATTCAATCAAATGAATGAAAGTGAACAGGTGTGCCAAAGTCCATATGGCGCCCCGTTTCTTGCACTTATTTGGATTTTTTGCACATTGCATTTCTTAAGGCTTACCCTCACGCCCGGAGGAGAAGTGGGAGTTGGGGCAGTCTTCCCAGTTTCATCCTTCTCTCTCGCTTTGCAGAATACATGGAATCACACATCTCGGAACTTCGCATCGACCTTGTGGGGGGGGAGGAGTCGACCTCAGGGAAATGCATCATCCGGTGTTTAGAATTTGCTTTTCTGCGTCTGATGGTATCTTTTCAAATTTTTTGGACTGGCGCAAGGTACTCTTATGCCCCTTACCAGTCTACATAAGGTTACATCACTTGATGGTAAGGGGCATAAGTGTACCTTGCGCCAGTCCAAAAAATTTGAAAAAATACCATCAGACGCAGAAAAGCAAATTCTAAACACCGGATGATGCATTTCCCTGAGGTCGACTCCTCCCCCCCCACAAGGTCGATGCGAAGTTCCGAGATGTGTGATTCCATGTATTCTGCAAAGCGAGAGAGAAGGATGAAACTGGGAAGACTGCCCCAACTCCAACTTCTCCTCCGGGCGTGAGGGTAAGCCTTAATTTGTAGCGTAAGAAGCACGGCAAACCCAAAAGAAGCACAACACAGATTAAATCCATATAACAGGATATCATGCGCTAGGGAAATAAATAATATTGCGTTGATATTTTGTAAAAACAATTTTGAAAAATTTTGCAAAAAAAATCAACATCATTTAATTATAATTTTTTCTGACCATTTCTTTTCTTCAATGATACCAGATATTTTGAGAATCTATGTAGGAGTTTATGAGCATCAGCACATTTTAGGTGAATACTTGAGAAGTACACTGCGACCCGTAAAACAAGGACACCCATCATTTTTTTCAATTTCTCAAAGACCCTCCAAAATATTTACATGCTTCTTTCACCATTAAGTACTACGGTGCGTGGTAGTCTTGTTGCAGCGTTTCATCTTGGTTCATAAACATACAACTTGGTAATCAACAAAAACGTAAAATTCAGGTGACCCATAAAACAAGGACATATCCCAAAAAACAGGATGTTTGTTATTCTACTGGGCTAAATTAATTGACTTTGGGCCAGAAATTGTATCGTCAGTATATTTGTGATATTTTGGTCTATAGTCGGTGTAAATGAAACTTTTTCTTCGGCAGGTATGCCATGGCGAGGGGTAAATTCCAGGTCATGTGGCGGAGGGGCAAAGTAGAAGCTTTACTTGCAGCTCGGTGGATTATATCGAAAATTTCAAAGCACCAAATTGTCAGGCGACATTCTGTAGTAACGTTCAAGGCCAGGGGGACCACTTCCGGTGGAATAAACAAGCAAGGACGGATGCCTCAGCTGATGCAGAGAGAAAAATCCATCATTCTCCGTCGCTCAAGCAGTTCCTTTGTGACTGCAAACCAGACTAAAATGGTTTTCAAGCTTCTCTCATCGAAATCAACGATAAACAAAGTCCGGCGTGCGTGCTCGATAGTCTGCAGAAGGAAAATGAAGAAGAAGCGTGTGCTTCCTAGGAGGTACAAAAATGCTCCATCGCAGTTGGCAGAAGATCGAGTGACGCGGACCCCTATGTCGAGCGACATCATATTTAGGGACAGAACCGATTCACATTGGATTGTCCTGAAAGGAATAAGTATCATTCTCATGACCTTAGGAAGCAAAACTTAAGTTTACGACACACAGAGCGGGGGAGGTGGTATCATGATCTGGGGCTTTATGGAATTAGGTCCAACATCGTTTTGTTCCGACTACTTTGAATTCACAGGGTTACCAGATCATTTCAGAAGAACAATTACTTCCTCTGAAACAAAAATTCGGAACAAAAGAGAACAGTCTTAACAAGATAATACCCCATATTATGCTCCTCGGTGATCAATGAAATGGTCCCAAGACAACTATATCGACATTCTACCTTGGCAATTGAGGTGTTTGGATCTAAATCCGATTTAAACTATTTAGGGATATTAGTCGCGTCTAGTTTATGCTAATACGTGTTCATCAGGCCGTGTTCATCAGGTTCCGAACAAAAACAAGGAATCATTGATGCACGAGATTCAATGCCAATCAGTGTTGTCAACAAGCACGTGAGGTCAATGAATCATCGATTTCGTTCTGATATGCATAACGTGGGTAGTTATACTGAGTATTGTTGTTAAAGAGAATTGATAAAATACACAATAACAGGCTAAAATGGAAATAATTCCAAACCTGTCCTTGTTTTATGAGCCACCTGATTTTGACATATTATTAGATAACTTCTCCGTCTCTGCGTCAATTTTGACGAAACTTTGCAACAAGACTACCACGCACCATAGTACTTAATGGTGAAAGAAGCATGTAAATATTTTGGAGGGTCTTTGAGAAATTGGAAAAAATCATGGGTGTCCTTGTTTTATGGGTCGCAGTGTAAGTAGTGAAGTATTTACAGTGGCATCAAGATAACCTTACCCCGCCGAATCTCAAGGCCATGCGCGCACAACGACAGGCTCGATCCCGCACAAATCGCCTAAAAAACAGGGTCTCGTTTTTACACTCACGTTTACGTTTCACGGTCATTCACGCTTTACGACCTCTGCGGGGTCACTGAAGTGACCTAGGTCAAAGTTCTTGAGAACCACCCTGGGGAATATGATAACTAGTGTGTGTGCCGAGTTTGAGGTCAAAAGGTGGTATCATGTGACACTCTAGTGACCTTAACATTTGACCTTTTGAGGTCAAACTTGGCACACACATTGCCAATCATATTCCCCAGGGTGGTTCTCAAGAACTTTGACCTAGGTCACTTCAGTGACCCCGCAGAGGTCGTAAAACGTGAATGACCGTGAAACGTAAACGTGAGTGTAAAAACGAGACCCTGTTTTTAGACGATTTGTGCGGGATCGAGCCTGTCGTTGTGCGCGCATGGCCTTGAGATTCGGCGGGGTAAGGTTATCTTGCTGCCACTGTACTGCTATCGAAACGCCGACATGTTTGGGAATAATTGCAACTTATCAAGCATCAAAGTACCTACGTAACGAAATAAGCCTCCGTTTTAGAGTTAATTAATTTAAAGAGTGCTTTATGATAATTTTACACCGCCCAAATCGCAATTAGTCGTAGTCCTGCACGAAATATTCTTTATTGGTACGGAAGCCTGCCTCGGAACAAATTAATGAATAAAAGCCGACCCAAAATTTTCTTAGGGCACACACTTCAGAGCCGTCTAGGGCAGAATGTGAGGTTAAAAATTTAATCTGGAAACATGAGATATGTTTGGACAAAAGTAATGTAATGTCATGAGACTAATGTTATCCCTAATTTATTTATTTCCGGTGTATCAAGCTGGGGAATAAACCACATATTTATCTAATCATCCATCTAGTGCCTGAACAAGGAAATAGGTAAAAACCTAAATGTGACTAAATAAGTAAAGGCAGACAACTCTTATCCGTAACAGGTAACTGTATTTGTAATTACGGAAAATCCCAAAAGTTTGACGGTTACAAATATATTGATTCAATTAATAGCTCAAAATATCCTGTTTGTATAATTGTATAATATTTGCGTTTAACCTTCACCTACGCATTTGTTTGTAAATATGTATGTACATATGGACAACTGATAAATTTAATCCATAAGTTTTGTTTATGCAAATATTGATGTCGACTGATATCAATGTTTTGCGAACATATTTCAACATATACTCAAATAAATGAATGGGTAATAAATTCATAAAGTAACGCATTTAACTATTATGTATAACTTATGTATTGTTTTTCGTTGAACCTTGTTCAGTAAACAGGAAGGATTAGCTCTAATGTGAAACTTGTAAATACAATCACGAGTTTTACAATCTAATGTTAATCTCGGTTCACTTTTACGACACAATATTCTTCGCAAAAACCAGAAGAATTAGTGATATCTATCTGTTTATTCGTAGAAACAAAGTTTATTGCAAGATTTATTGCAAATATGTACAAAACATTTCGTATAATTGTTATCAATCCCGGGAAAGCTTAAATATGCCTATGTAAATTATTTTGACGGTTGTATATTGTGTAAATAAATCATAAAACTTTCCGGTATTTATAGCAGCTTGATTTCACACCATTTCACAATTACAAGCTTGCCACTTAATTTTGTATAAAATTCAATAATTATTCGCATCCGTACTTAAAAATGTTGAAGGTTTCGATTCTTCTACTGCTTGGCTGGCTGGGGTCGGACGCATTTGCAGTCCCGGTAGCACGGCCCGAACCACCAAGGAAACCGACGAATTGTAACTAGAAATTATTTAAAACTCCCGCATGACAGGTCGCAATATTTAGTCGCAACGAATTTGCACGAACTCTTGAGCCAAATGTCCGCCGAATTCGCCGATTCTCTACGGATTCTTAGCGAAATGTTGCTCAAAAGCGCGTAGAGATTTAGTAGCGTCTATCGCGACCTTTTAAATAAATATGTGACCTGGACACATGTAATTAAGGGGTGAAAGCCCTTTATAAGATCGTTATGTCCGTCTGTCTGTCTGTCCGTCCGTCCGTCCGTCCGTCTGTCTGTCCGTAGCTCCGATAACTTTTGAACGAAAAGACATAGACACTTGAAATTTTGAACGTAAACTCCTAACGTCAATGGACAGGACGAGTTCGAAGATGGACACTGTGACATCGTCACCTGTGACGATGACATCGTCACAGTGACGAAAAGTGACGAAAAAGTGTCACTTGTCAGTTTTGACATGTGACACATCATTTTTAACTATTTTTCAATGAGGAATTCGAAAATTCATGTCATTTTGTGTTTGGACGTCACCTGTGACGATGACATCGTCACGGTGACGAAAAGTGACGAAAAAGTGTCACTTGTCAGTTTTGGCATGTGACACATCATTTTTAACTAATTTTCAACGAGGAATTCGAAAATTCAGGTCATTTTGTGTTTGGACGTCACCTGTGACGATGACATCGTCACAGTGACGAAAAGTGACGAAAAAGTGTCACTTGTCAGTTTTGACATGTGACACATCATTTTTAACTATTTTTCAATGTCAAATTCAATGGTGACCTCCATTTTGACCTCAGAGGTCATGTAAAGGTCATAGGACATATCTATTTCTATTTCAACTGAAATTTAACCCCGAATTCAATGGTGACCTCCATTTTGACCTCAGAGGTCATATAAAGGTCACATAAGGGTTATCAACTGTTAAATTTGACACAAATAAGACACAAAAGTCGAAAACACGTCAGAAGTGTCAATCTTAACAAATTTTCGAACAATTTGATATTCACATTGACGTATGACACTCCTTTCACCCCTTGGTTACATGCGTTGTAACGGTTTATTATCTACTAATTATGGCTAATTTTGTGCCATTCTTCAGACACTCTGCCAATGGAATATCCTGACTTTGCAATCCCTTCTTTTGACATTAAATACACAGAGGAGCAACTTAGGTCGAAATCCGGACTCGTCGATGAACGGTACCGATGGCGAAATGGATTCATAGTACATCCAAGTCGGGATTTTAGTAAGTACTTATCTAAATTCCGGCCGATTTCTGAATGAAAAATTTTAAAAAAAATTGCATACATAAAATGCACAGCTGCGTCCGAGTACAAAGTGATTAACGACACCCTGTACGAACTGAGGACCCATTTGTGCATTCCAGTTTTGATTTGGCCGCAAAATTCTAACCCGACCGGGGATTATGTCGAAATTGTTCGTGGCGGTGGGGGTAGTGGGTGTTGGTCGTACTTGGGACGATTGGGTGGTAGGCAGGTAAATAAATCTATGTATTTCCGGTGTGTTAGACCTGTCTTGTTAAGGTTACCGTTGTCAATTAGATAAATAGGAAATGATATCCTTTACAAAATCAACATTCTACCGGATTTGAAACACAAAAGCCAACCACAATAAAGAAGGAGTACCTGTGCTAATTTTCCGATCAGACCGGATTATCCTACAACTTACAATAACATGGATTCGATCCCATTGTATCCATGTTTTTGTAAATGGTCGGATAAAACTATCCCATCGGACCTAGCACCTCTAAGCAGGAAGGGGGATATTATTATGATGATATTAAAATGATAGGAATTATTAAAAAAAATAGTTTTACAATTTTACATACGTGATCAAATTAAGGGACAAATGTAAATACTTATGAGACATTTTTTTCCATTTAAGAGACATTTTGCATGTAGGAAACTGGTATATTATTTAACAGACGTTTCACCTATATTTATGAGTCGCGAAAATTTAATTCCTATTATTATTGATATTCCGTAAATATTCATTCCTGATGCCAGATTTGACAGATGTCTGTTCGTAAGATTTAGGCAGACGAAAGTATTTAAATATTTAGAATATGAACCTTCAATACAACGGGTGCATTGTGAAATACATCGTGATCCATGAATCGATTCATGCCCTTGGATATGACCATGAGCAAGCTCGAACGGATCGTGATTCATTTGTGAGAATTCTCTGGAACAATATCATTCCGTGTAAGTAAATAAATATGTTCTGTGTACCGGAGGTGAGTCGGATGCCCGTTTTTCAAGAGGAGGTCTGATCCGATTCGATCCGTGTCAGACGGGCCGAGTCTACTTGAAAATCAGAAAGACGGATCTGACTGGATCCGACCTTTTAATATTCAAGAAACGGATCGGGTTTTTTGAAACGTGACCAGACTCACCTCTGATGTATACACTCATAGCAAAGTGGTGAAGTCATATAAATATACACTCCGTGATGGTATTGATTTGGTGATGATTTATCCCCCGGGTTGGTAATAGTTTGATTCCAAGGGGTGAGTTTGCATCACCACAACGGTGTATATTTTTCATTATGCGGTGTTACCCGTTATCACCGCTCCGGTTAAGTCATATATGCACTCCGTTTGGTGATGATTCAATACCATTTTGCTAAGAGTGTACGGTTTTCTGTTAAACTCCGTTTCACATCTCGTGAGTTCGTCACATGGAACCGATTAGCCGAATGAACCGAATTATTTTATTATGTAACACCAATTATTTTTATTTTGGCGTAAAAATCATACGAAATTGAATAATGTAAACGCCACAATAAAAATAAGTGGTGTAAAATAATAAAATAATTTTACATGAGATTTGAAATGGAGTTTGGAGTGATTTCTTGATTTTATTTTAAGTAGTTGAATTTCTTAAATTATAAATATTCTCTTAGCTCAACAGCATAATTTTAACATTCGTCCGGGATCGAACACTTTTGGTGTTCCGTACGATATCGACTCCATCATGCAGTACGCGAGTACCTCTTTCAGCCAGAATGGACAGCCCACCATTGTCACACTGGCGAGAAAATTTAATTTGAAAATTACATAATTCAATTGCTTGAATTCGCCGTATAATTTATTTGCAGACGGGTCGCTCCATTCCGACAAATAAAGCTCTAACTTGGTATGATGTTCAGAAGTTGAAGAGGATGTATAACTGTTAATTAGTTGTACTGATATTTTATGTACAATGTCTGATATTTATTGCGTTAAATGCAATTGCTGTAACAATCTTACTTTGAGTAATAAATAGTTAACTTTTGAATAGTTATAAACTGAATAGTTTTATTTCTGGGAAAATAACTTGTTTTTCTTGATGGGTATCACAATAATCACAACTGTTGTGTAGTAATTGAGGCCGTTAAAAAACCAGGAAAAATCGAGATACATAGGTCAGTCGAAATCAATTTATATTTAGTTAGAAAATAGATACAACCTTCAAAAACTTTTTGAGCTGTCCGTGAAAATACGGGGAAAATCATCTTAGGCCATTTCGATAGCAAATTTTGAGATTCTGACATTTTAAGGCTGAAGTTGGCCACATGTTAAATCGGTTACACAAAATTTTGTTTCTATCCAAATTTAATCCAATTTAGTACTTTTAATGAATTTTTTTATTTTCAGAATTTATATTTTAAAATTAACATTTATATTTTAAAATTAACATTTAGATTTTAACATATTCTCATATTCTGGGTTGAACCTGTTTCCAAAACGGTTTCGCCTGGTTTTTGACCTGCAATGAAATCATGATTGAAAAAAAAGATTTTTAATGTGCCAGAAATTGTCAGAAGCGTATGCAAAACTAACTTTTGAAACATTTTTGGACTCCGATATAAACTCAAGATGAAATGGTACAAGTTTGAAATAAATTCAGAAAGCGTAACCTTTTTATTTTGCGACCAAACTGTAAACGAGTTTTAGACTAACTGGCCAAAAAAATATTAATTTAAAATTTTTATGTTTGGTTGGGATTTACACAATTTCACTCAGAATTTTTTTGAGAGTTCAAAAATGCTTAAAAATCCAATGTAGCTAAATTTTGTGCTGAATTAGATACAGTTCATTTAACAATGCGAGGGTGTCAAGTGTAACCCTCCGATTTGGTTGAAATTTTGAAATTATGTGGTCCATGTAAATGCAACCAACGTTTCTTTAGACAGTTTGTGCGATGGTGGGAATTTGGCAAATTATTTGAGGGAAAAGTTGAGAAACGGGCGAATTTTCCATTAGAATGGAATGGGAGTCGGGTTTGCTTCATCCGCTTGGTAAAAATCGGACATTTTTCAACTTTTCAAATGTATTGGCAAATTCTGACCATCGCACAAAGTGCCGGAAGAAACGTTGGTTGTATTGACTTTGACCACATAATTTCAAAATTTTAATCAAATCGGAGAGTTACACTTGACACCGTCACATTGTAAGACTAACTCATTTCCAAATCATCAGCAAGACTGCCGCCCCCCAAAGTAATCAGACTTGAAAATAGGACTCACAGCCGTTATGCCTTCACTCGCTTAAACTTCAACCCGGAAGGTCGAGCGGTCCCCTTTTTGTCGTCACAATACACGTTCAATTCTATTTCTTTCCCGTGAGGGTCATAGTGACACACGGCTGCACACGGTTCCACCATTTTGGCCGGCCCCGTGGGTGTGTAGCAGCTGTAAATTCCAGGCGCGCAAGCCTTGGCCGTCTCATTACCATTGAAACAAAGAAATTTCTCCGTCGAAAATTCCTGCGTGTTAAATAAAATTACCCAAATTTGTTGGAAATTTATAAAACAAATTATACAACCATTCCCACACTTATATACTTTATATCTAGAACGTCAAAAATTGCAAGATTTTGAAAAGCTGGTTTCCAATTTTGTGCAACTTTCATAAAACTTTCTTAAACTTTCATGAAACCGAGGTTTTTGAAATTTTCCGTAAAACCGGTTTTACGCACTATTTTAAATATTTTGTAAATATGATCTGACAAAATTTAAAGCATAATAATCTTTAAGCACTGATGTGAAAAAATACATGATACGAATTTATTCTTATATAAAAAAGAAATGGAAAGCTCTTAGTATTTCAAAAACAATATTTATCGAAGAATCAATCGTAGAATGGTTTTAAAGTGTGATAAAACAGGGTTTGTAAAGAACGTTCTTTTTTGTAGATTTAAAACTTGGAAATGGAAAACATAGTTTTAACCGTTTTGTAAAGCGGGAAAAACCGATTTTGGATGCCCTAGTTAGATTGCCTCGAACGTGTGCCACATTTTGGACAGGGTTATACACAGAAAGAAGGGACATTCGTGCCACGTAAATATTTTATGAACCTCTAATCTCGTGGTTTATCTGGCCAGCAATTAAATTATTTACTTCTAACCTCGAATGCATTGGAGTGAGCACAGGTGGCGCAGTCGTCGGCCGCCTCACCGCGCTGGGGAAGGAGGACGACGGCAGAAAAACAGACAATCGTTGCAATTAGGAGGATCATTGACTTGGTCGGCATGTTTTTAAAGAAATATCGGCTTTACTTTGCTTCTCTGTTAGGGTCGCAAATCTTGCCAGACGGACTTTACCTAGATAAGTAAATTTATATATTTCTCACTGCGACAGTCACGTCATGCATATTTATTCAGGGGTGAAACCACTTTATAAGATTGACATGTCTGTCTGTCTGTCCGCGCCATAACTTAAGAACGGTTGACATATTGACCTGCAATTTAGAACATAAATACTTTATGTAAAGACGAAGGTCAAGTTCGAAAATGGACACTGTACGTCACACTGTAGCTCACAGCATATCCACTATGTATATTAGACGCAGTTTTTAATACTAGTCCTATGATGTGACAAAATCTCCGTGTCAAAATTACATTTGGTCAAGCGGTGACGATTTTAGTGACGCGCCGAACGGTCACTTTCTCCCATGATTTCAATAGCGCAGCTACTTTTCGCCACACGCTCCTCATTTTGCTACTGAATTCTTAACTCATTTACTCACTGAGCGCACTGGTGTTTAATTTAGCTATATTTAAAATATAATTACAATTTACTACTCATCAATATTTTTTTCCGTTCGAATTTAAAAGTTACAAAATGTTCACGCGCATTTTTTGAAGAATAAATCCCTCTACTTGTTTGAATTTATAAGAAGTTGCTGTATTTTTCCGCATAGTTTTTAAACTCCAACACAGATATTTGAAAGGAAAAAACAATATTGAAAACTTGTAAAACGTACATAAATTATAATCATACATATTGTAAATATACATAGTTAAATTAGATGCCAGTCTCATAGGTGAATAAATGAGTTGAGGTTTCAGTGAGATAAGCGGGGACGTGTAGTGAAGAGGTGAACAGGTACCTCCGCTACTAAAAGCATGGCGAAAATGACCGTTCCGCGCGTCACTAAAATCGTCACCACTTGACCAAATGTAATTTTGACACAGAGATGTTGTCACATCATAGGACTAGTATTAAAAACTGCGTCTAATGTATACAGTGGATATGCTGGGAGCTCCGGGCACTATAAAAGGTTCCCTCGTTAGATATTTATGCGCATGTGTAGGGGTGGTCCCTTTCCCAAATTTCAACTATTTAGGCTGGCCTTACTTACACACCCAGGCAGGCAAGATATAAGTACCCCTAATTTCAGAAAGGTTAAACCCACTGGACTGGAATTTTTACACAAGGTAGGAAAGCTACATGATGAAAGGGGCCACCCATATATTACGTCATCAAAAAATTCTCGATTTTAGCACCAACCTACTCCTTGTAAATATTAAGGGATAGGGAATTTTAACATGGGAAAGATAAGAAGACCTATACCACCCACCCACTAAAATGATGACGTAATACATACATGGACGTGCCCAATGTGTCCTGGGTAAAAAATAAACTCCAACAGTACCCTACCTGCAGAGAGTCGCATTCGACTGTACTTATTTTTGCCCCTGGAAATCAAATGACGCTCCCAAATAAAAGAACGTTCAGTGTGGTTTTGATTCTGTAAAAGGCACAACGTGATAGCAGGACCGGATTATATGTATTTGAATAAGTAAATACTTGTAATTTGTGAAATGATAGATTTACAGTCTAAAAAATTTGATAACCACGGTTTTTATGTGCGACAGTAGTGTACTGGAACTGTAAAAAGACGGGATTATTTTTAAATATTTAGTATCATTAAGCTGAAAATAAATTAATATTCTGTGATTAAAATTTAATAAACTGCGGCAACGCAGGGTACACAAGTAGCGCAATGATGCTGAGAATGCGATACAAAATAAAGAAAATATAGATTGCTGAATCTGAATAATTTAAAAATAATAAAATAATTTAAATTTCCTCATTTACATGTAGCCACTCTGAGAAATCGTGCATTTTACATGTATTACTGTTTTATGGATCTTAATTAATTAATCAATCTTACTGTTTTACATGTCCTACATGTTGGATTCAATTTTTATAAAAATCTCATTTTGCCCCGACCACACCCCGTGGGTGTGAGGGGGTGTGGCACCACTCGAGAACACTTAAATTAACTCTATTTCATCCATAGATTCGATTTTTGCAAAAATCTCATTTTGCCCCGACCACACCCCCTGGGTGCGAGGGGGTGTGGCACAACTCGAGAACATTTAATTTAATTCTATTTGATCCATAGATTCAATTTTTGTAAAAATCTCATTTTTCCCCGACCACACCCCCTGGCGCCCGGGGGTGTGGTCCGGCTGGCCCTAAAAGCTTAGGGGATCCTCCCCCTGGGGTCATACGTATGATGCCACAAACCGATTTCGATTATCTCGATCCGTTCTCCCGTTATCGTGTTGACGGACAGACAGACAGACTAAGTCATCGCATAAACTAAGTCATCGCATAAAGTAGCTTGCGCTACTTAATAAACGGTACTGAAATTGGTACCATAAGGTATGCATTGCTTTACCCCCAAGGTTGTAAATATAACGATTTAATACCAAAGCATTAGAGATATGAATGTGCATATGCCGGCTGGATTCTTATACTACACTAAACATAAAAATTTGTCAAATCAACACCGCCGGTGTTAAAATATGATTTAACCGCCTTGGTTGCAATTGTGATTCCGACTGGTAATGCAATTTTTCCGCCCGGTTATAACATTATAACTACCGCATACTGGTATCAAAATCATCATAAGTTGGAATCAACATTTTAACCAAGGCGGTTAAGTCATATATGTATTAACACCGGCGGTGTTGATTTGACAAATTTTTATTTGAGTGTACTTGTAATATTTTTTTAGC